GAGAGAGAGGGAGAGAGAGGTAGAGAGAGGGGTGGGGTAAGATCAATAGGAGGAAGAGAGAGTTGCTGGGAGAGAAAGAGTGAGAGAGAAAGGGGGAGAGAGAGAGGGAGAGACAGAGAGAAAGAGAGAAAGAGAGAGGGGGAGACAGAGAGAAAGAGAGAAAGAGAGAGGGGGAGACAGAGAGACAGCGAGCGGTATGAACAACTACCACAATTAATAATTGCGAATATAGCGAAGTACGAACTACGATCGGAAAAATCGTGTTCTGACATGCGCAGCGCCCGCTATTATAAAGTTTGTTTAGAAATGGCGGACCGTCGAGACCGACAGGCCAAAGAGACTGTGTTTTGGACAACCGGTAGGTTTCTACAACTGACGCAAATTAAAAGTGCTTTTTGGTGCATTCCATGTGGCTAGAATAGAATTTTGGAGAAGTTAAGATTGATCTGTGGTATTCAGTGTGATATTTATATTTTTTAGAGCCTTTTATCTCTGTTTTATTGTTGTCGTTCAAACTTTCAAGTTTGATTCAGCTGTCACTTTTGACTCAAGTTTGACTCAAACTTTGACGGAACTTGCGCTGTTTTGCTTTTTAGTTAGATCTATAAACATGTTTATTTTATAGGTCTATCTTTTCTCCCAATGTTTAGATCTAGCATTCTAACAAAAAATATGTTTGTGGTTGTTTTTATTTCAACGTTGTCAGTTTGAGCCCATACTATGCCATCCATACTTGTGTTCTAACTTCTGGTCATGATATATATAATAATAGAGATCTAGATTCTAGATCTAGATCTAGATTCGATCTAGAATATAGATCTAGATCTAGATCTAGATATCTATTTAGACTATATATAATTATTCAAATGAGTCCGTCAGCTGTGGGCATGAGATTTAAGAGTGAAGTAAGATTTAGATATCTATAAATTATAATGAGAGTTAGGGGTAGGATTAGGGTTATCCATGTACCTCTAACCCACCGTATTAACCAAGTCAGGGTTAGAGTTAATAAGGTTAGGACTCGACAGTTAACTAACATCTTGCCTATATTGCCTCAGTTACTTTAGTGCTAATTACTGGAGTCCAATGGGAACAATACGTTCCAAATTGGAAACTTGTCAGCCGCTGGCACTCTTGGGACAAACATAAATTTTTAAATTGTGTTCACTGCGCACTATAACTCTTTGACAGAGAAGAAGAAACAAGGCAGATGTAATTTCATTGTCAGAATAAGGGGGGGCAGTAGAGAGGTTCTGGAGGGGAAGGGAGGACGAGGAGTTAAGACACTTGATTGATAAAAATAAAAGAATGCGTTGGTGATCAAATTAGAATGAAATTATAGTCATTAGGATTACTCTGGCTTCCTCTGGTGCAGCACAATGCTACCATTTGTGTTTGTTATACTCTGTTCATAATTTAGCAGGTTCTGTCTGAATTCTTATAATTAAAGCGATGAATGTATAAAACTCTAGAATTGAACTTCTGCACCCCATACCCTCCTACACCCATGTGTTCATTATCATTGACTGTATAACATTTTCATGAACGATTTGAATACAGGTGATTTCTTTCAAGTTGTGCGCACACACAAAAAAAACGATGTGTCTCAACGCTGTGGAAACAGACGCTCGCCAATGTTAGGGCATGTGGAGTCAATGATATCATCAGAAAGCTTGTTCATTTATCTCGCTTTCAGTGGTTTAAATTGTGCGTTCAATCAACGTTTTTCAGTAAAGTTCACACAGAAATGTATTTTCAGTAAGTCGTAAAAGGTCAAGATACGTAATTTCCAGAAAAATGAAAACAAAAAGGCAGAAAAATGCTGATTTCTTTGATTTCATTTTAAACGAGCGCCCAATTTCACCACGCTGCCTCACATTTACACGTAACAGGATCTGTCTGAATTCTAGTGAAAGTCATGAATGTGATACACCAGAATTGGATTCACCATTGACTGTTTTAACCATTTCATGAATAATTTAAATTTGTCGATTTCTTTAAAATCCTGATTTCAAGCTGCGCGAAAATAAAGTTTGGCTCTCTGTGTCCACAGCTAAAGGCATGGCCAGCCCGACCTTTGTGGTGCCAGGGGTCAGTGATGTGGGTAACCTCCGACCCCGGGTCAAGGGCGGCCGCACAAAAGAGGTCAAGGCTGCGGTACCTGTGGAACAACTAGTGGTGGAGACGTTGGATCCCCTGGGCTCGACCATCACCACGGCAACCATGCTCACCACTGATGTGAGTGGCGTTGGTAAAAATAAATGATAATCAGTTTCGGTTCCAGATTCAGGGGGGGGGGGGTGGCTCAGTGACACATGTGTGGTGTTACCTGTCAATCCAGTGTGGAAGTTTTGCCCAGTACAGATCCCTTGATGGTCCTTCAGTTTATAAAAGGGGTAGGCCACTTGGACTGCGCTGTTCAGGCAAGATTCAAAATCCATTCCTGTCCTAAAACTCAAGTGTTCTATCCATTTAATCAGTAGAAATAAATATAAAAAAGAGGACCTTCAAAAACAGCCCATGGCCGCCTGTCAGGCTAGGGCTGATTCTTCGTTCTATGTAAATAAAATTAGCATTTCTCTTATATGACCTTATGCAGTTGGGAGCGCCGTAAAACACTTACCAAAACAAACTCTGTCCCAGGTGTCACAGAGCAATGCCACGACGGAGGTTGCTTCGTCGGTCCCGGGCCAGCGCGTGTCTCTCCGTGACCTGTGTGTCGAGGACAAAAAACGTGTCGCTAACTTGATCAAGGAGCTGGCCAAGTAAGGGTTAACTGTTATTGAAGCCTGGAGCTGTTGAATTTTTAAACTATTGATGTTTAAACTATTGTTGTTTATAACGACTGATGTTTAAAAGTATTTGATTTTTTAAACTATTGAAGCTTAAAGCTGATGGTGTTTAAAGTAAGGAAGCTTAACACTAGTGATGTTTAAACGATTGAAGCTTAAAACTATTGATGTTCAAACGATTGAAGCTTAAAACTATTGATGTTCTAACGATTGAAGCTTAAAACTATTGATGTTCAAACGATTGAAGCTTAAAACTATCAAGATGCTTACACTGTTGATGCTGCGTAAACTATTTATGCTTATACTTTTGAAGCTCAACCTGCTAAAGCTCTTAAACTATATAGTATACATATATATATGATATGTAGACGCTCTTCAATTTCTTATGACCTTTCCCCCTGTGGTGTGCAGGGTGGGGGAGGAGAAGGAGAAGGCGCAGGAGGTTCTGGAGCAGGAGAGGCTTCAGTACCAGGAGCAGATCCTACGTCTGGTGGAGCAGCAGGAGCAGATACTGCAGGAGAGAGAAGGTAACTATCAGGGAGAGAGAGGTGACAGAACTTGTTATTTATCATGGGGAGAGAGAGAAGGTAACTGTCATTGGGAGAGAGAGAAGGTAGCTGTCATTGGGAGAGAGAAAAGGTAACAGAACTTGTTATTTATCATGAAGAGAGAGAAGGTAACTGTCATTGGGAGAGAGAGAAGGTAGCTGTCATTTGGAGAGAGAGAAGGTAACAGAACTGAACTTGTTGTTTATCATGGGGAGAGAGAGAAGGTAACAGAACTGAACTTGTTGTTTATCATGGGGAGAGAGAGATGGTAACAGAACTGAACTTGTTGTTTATCATGGTGAGAGAGAGACGGTAATAGAACTTGTTGTTTATCATCGGCAAACTGTTCAAATGTTTTAACTCACCGACCATCAGTTTGCTAGTGGTTGGGCGCGTGCAACCCGCAGCTTGCATTGTATGCTTCCCGGGCAGTCAAGAATGTTTCCGAGTGTTCTAGTGCCTGCTGGGGTAATAGTTGTAAAGCTCATAGAACATGCTATTGAGTGTGGGTATACGCTATATATAAATGTAATTCTTCTTCTTCTTCTTCTTCTTCTTCTTGTTCTTCTTCTTCTTGTTCTTCTTCTCCTCCTCCTCCTCCCTTTGCGAATGCATTTCTTTGAATATCTTGATAATGACTCTGAAAAATCTTCTGATTTTGCTAGAGCAGATAGAACATTTTGCTCCTGACCTCATGGTCTTAGTAACTGAAACAGCCAAAAATGTCAGATAGAACTTTGTGCTTTTCAGGAAGTGCATGAAGCAAACTCAAAAGCATGGGGGTTTTTTTTTCATAGAATAAAAGATCTTAGTACATTTTATTCCAAGTCATTTTTTGACCGACGGGTAGGCCTTGTTCAGTATCAGAACCTATAGAAACGACCCTTTTTTTTTCCTTTGCAGCAAAACGATATGTGAGATCAGCCTAGATTCGTGAAACGGCGTGCCTGATATTAGAAATATCCATCGTAACTTACCTCTTTTAAGAAAAAAAAAAATGCACAAGAGCTGCACTAATGGATCAAGGGATGCGACTACTCAGTTGACCAGACATCAAATAGCATGAATTGCTTCCCTTTCCACACTGCCGAGACTGATCATGGGTCGGTAGACGGTGTAAAAACTGTGAAGACATGGAAACAGACAGAGATGTGGGTTCAGGGTTTCTCATATGTGAGGCAGCGTGGTGGAATCAGGCTCTCGTCAAAATAATCAAAGTGAAGAAACTTGCATTTTTCAGCTGGTTTGTGAATTTTTATCAAATGTTTGTTTTTTGGGTCAAGACTTTTCATGTCCATTAAAGAACTCATTTCTGTGTGAATTTTTCTGAAAAACATTGATTAAAGGCACAAAAAAAATGTAAATTTTCAGTTACAATGGACTCTTAAGCTAAGGAAATAACTAATCTTTGGCGGCCATTTTCTCAATAATTTTACCTCTGAAAACAGGTGACCCCCACCTCATTCTTGTATTCAAGATAAACCGATATTTTTTCCATCCAAAAAAAGACAAGTGAACAAGCTTTAAGATGATGCTAATAACACTTCATGCCTAAAAATTGACGAGAGCCTGATTCCACCACGCTGCCTCACATATAACCTATCTGTGGTACAAGTACTGTAAAATTTGTACAAAAACTTAAAAAAAAACAAGAACATCTAATCTTTACCCAAACAAAACTCGACGGTTCCTCAATTTTTATTTTTTTTTGTTTTGTTTTTGCACAGAGGTGAACAAACGTCTGATGGAGTACCAGGACTACATTCTGCGGCTGAAGAAAGAACGACAACTCCGCGCTCCGCAGCAGCCGCAGAAGCTACAGCCGCAGGTAAGACTTGACGGGGACAGTTACTTCCCCTTGTTGTAGATTGTAGAGTTACGATACCACAGACAGCTGCATCTTCCTTCGACGCTTAACGACAACAGTGAATGAAAAATTGAAATTTTAAAAAAGTAAAGTTGATATGTTGGCAATGTCCGTGTTGTGGTAGTTAGGCTTGTTCATAAAATAAACGTCACTCCGCAATTAACGAAGCTGATCCATGGGTGGTTGGCAGGTGCTCTGGTGTGGTTTGCTCCTTCTTTTTTATCAAATATATATATATATCGTCCTTATTTCTCCTCTCTCTTTTTTTGTGTTTGTTACTCTCTTGTAACACCTCTCATCTTCGGCACTTATATAACCTATTTGTGTTGCAAGTGCCGTAAAACTCTTACTGAAACTAAAATAACACCTCTAATCTTCGGCGCTTATATGACCTTATTGTATTGCTAGTGCTATAACAGTTTTGCTAAAACTAGACAGAAGCTGATCCTGATCACTGCCAGGTGAGGCCAGCCAGATTCCACAGCCAGTTCTAATACAGGCGCGCTGTGTTGGCTTCTTCCTCGTTCTCAGCTAATATGCAAGGGGTCATCTCTGTGAGCTTCAGTCTTAATTCAGGGTGTCGGCTAATCATAATAATAATAAATAGATAGCATTTGTATAGCGCATATCCTCGCTCAACAGCAGGCTCTATGCACTTTACACTATATTATTACCCCAGCAGACCACAGAACACTCCGAAACATTCTCAGCTTCCCGTGAAGCATACAGTGCAAGCAGCCGATTAAGCACTCAAACACTAACAAACTGACAAGACTTTTCGCTGTCTATAGCCGGGTACCCATTCCCACCTGGGTGAAGTGAGGAAAACCGTGTAAAGTGCCTTTCCCAAGGACACAACGTCATGCCCCTGACGGGATTCGAACCCACGACCTTAATATACAAGGGGTCCCCTCTGTGAGCTTCAGTCTTAACTCCTTATCTCCAGCAAACAGCTCCCAGCGTCTCACGGTCGGAACTGCTGTGCCGGTGAGCCGCTGGTAGCAACTCGGGCACATTCCTTTACGACGACTTTGACGTCAAATTTCTTTTGGGCAAAATACGGAAAACAGGTCTCTTTTACTGGGATTTCATTCGTTAAGTGAAGAACTATCCAAATAGGTTCGTTTGTTTTGATTTGGTGATCAATTTACTGATGTATATAATGTCGCTTTTAGATTTTGTACCAAAAGAGGGCCCTGGCATAGTGGGTTTACCTCCCCCCCACCCTCGGGAGATAAAGTGTTAACTTTTCTGCCAGGACATCATGTTTTTCTAATCCTGGGTGGGCTCTGACAGACAGAGTGGAAACAGCCCGCCTCCAAAATGATTAAAATTTTGTCAATAGCGTAAAACTCCTCAAATTACACTCATTTTTATTACTGTCGTCCATTATACTCGTTCCTTCCACCTCTTTTTTCTACCGTAAAAATTTTTTTTTTTTCAGGAAACTGCGATAAACGACAAGATCGGCGGTGGAGTGATGAATCATGGGAAGGCCGCACATGTCCATCGGCCTCCGCCCTCACCCCGACCCCCACCCCCACCGCCACTGCCCCCAGCCATGTCTAATGGTAGTGGTAGGAGGAATGATGAGGAGGGGGGTGGAGGATTTAGTGGGGAGGAGGAGGAGGAAGAAGGTGCGTTTTTTTATGATTCTCTCTTTCTCTGTCTGTCTGTCTGTCTGTTTCTCTCTCTCTCTCTCTCTCTCTCTCT